CATTCCTCGATGGATCGACAACCCGGACTCAAAAAGTTCACTTTATTACTTGAACGCGACCCGTGCACTTGCGGTATAATATATTCAAGCGAACATGCCTAATAGTAACCAAGACTTCTATTGCCTTGAAACTTCCTACTCAATTTATATGGTCATTAACGAACTACATGTGGACATAGTAGTTGGCTAATATAAATAAATTAATATGATTCTCCAATAGGTAAAAAATACACGGAGTCTAATTGACTGTAACACATTTGTTATTTAAAAACTTGGAATCAAATGATTTTCCGTTGACGAAGTGGACTTCTAACTACCCTAAATTGATCTATCATATTAGTTTTGAAGAGAATTCTTGGAAAATTGATGAAAAACTACGTGACCAAACGAAAGTACTTGCAATTATAGCCTAAAAATTAATCCGGTTGTAATTCGAATGGAAATGACTAATTGAAGAGCGAAATTTCATCTTGGTTTCTTCAATGCTTAATTAGTTGTAACTTGCCTTGTTTCCGTTTTCAGTAGTTGTAATGAGGTTTTATTGTAAGGGCAATATTACATTTTTTTTACTGCTTTACTTTATTTCTATTGTAAGGGAAGTAGTATTTCCTCAGTTATAGCTTTGTTTCATTTCAATTGTAACCACGGTATTCCTCCGCCACAAATGAAGACATATTAATAAATTCTCGGAGGTACCGCCCTCCTTCCTTTGAAAAAAAAAAACTCTAGCCTACAAATTTGTTAGGCTGTCGATGGAGTTCAACCAATGCTTAATCAGTTGCAACTCTAGCCTACAAATTTATGGTGGAATCGTGAACAAAATAGTGGACATTACACATTGGAGCCTTTCTAATATAAAATGTTCTCTATTTTAAAGAGTCAGACGCTTAAAATTATGTTTCAAAAGACTCATTAAATTAATATTTTAATTTAGAGAGTAAGTTTGATTCTTCAATTTGGAGAGGAAACTCACTCTCTATAATTATATGTATTCAAAGTATTTTAATTTTCAATGGAATACTTTAAGTTTTTAATCTAAATTTATAGATACTCTCTAAATTGTAAAATATGCTCTTTAAAAATAGAGAATCTCGTGAAAATGCTTTTATCATGCCGAGAAAATTAGGGTTGGATTCAATTTCCTGGTATTCAAGTGTAAGTTTCCAAGAACGAACGTGGACAAATCCTGTCCCTCTCACTTTTTATCATTTCACTCGGTTGT